AAGTGCTTCAAAATTTCAACCGAAACAATCTTCTCCAAGACATCATGTAAAATGAAAAATGAAAAGAATTTTCAAAGCAGTAAGAGAGAAAGTAAAAACTATAAGGGAACATTATAAGGCTATTTGCAGATTTCCCACAGATGTCTTTCAGGCTAAGGGAGAGTTGGTTGACATATGAAAATGTGGAAGGAATAAAACTGTCAACCAAGAATATTTTACCTGGAAAAGTCATCTTTCAGAAATGAAGGACAGATAAAAACTTTGCCAACAAACAAAAGCTGTGGTAGTTCATAAACTCTAGACCTGCCTTACAGGAAATACTGAAAGGAATTCTTCATGCTGAAATGAAAGGACACTAATTAGTTATATAAAAATATATGAAAATAAAAAATCTACTGGTAAAGGTAAGTATATTCTCAAATTCAGAATACTCTAATACTGTAATATGGTAGTATGTTAACTTTGTAACCTTAGTATAAATGTTAAAGTACAAAAGTGTTAAAAAAAACTTTAGGTACAATAATTTGTTAATAGGTACACAATATAAAAAGAGGTAAATTTTCGGGGTGCCTGGGTGGCTCAGTGGGTTAAAGCCTCTGCCTTCGGCTCGGGTTATGATCTCAGGGTCCTGGGATGGAGTCCCGCATCGGGCTCTCCACTCAGCGGGGAGCCTGCTTCCCCCTCTCTCTCTGCCTGCCTCTCTGCCTACTTGTGATCTCTCTCTGTCAAATAAATAAATAAAATCTTTAAAAAAAAAGAAGTAAATTTTGACGTCAAAATCAAAATATGTGAAGAGGTGTAAAATGGTTGAGGTTGTGTATGATCAAAGATAAGTTGTTCTCAGTTTAAAAGAGAATTTTTATATTGATATTTTTGTTTATGAAAGCCTCATGGTAACTGCAAAACAAAAACTAAAAGTAGATACACAAAAGATAAAGGAATCAAAACATACCAGCACAGAAAATGATCAGTTCATTAGAACAAAGACAGCAAGAGAAGAGGAAAGGAACAGCAGAATTACAAAAGAGCCAGAAAACAATTATTAGCAAACTGAGGGTTTTAGATGGGGTGGGGGATAGGTTGGCCCAGTGATGGGTATTAAGGAGGGCACGTATTGTATGGAGCATTCATTCCAACAATGAATCTTGGAACATACGTCAAAAACTAATGATGTACTATATGGTGACTAACATAGCATAATCCAAATAATAAAAAAGATATAATTAGTAAATCTTTACCTGTCAATAATTATGTAAATGTAAGTATATTAAAAATTTCAATCAAAAGGCATAGAGTGCTGATTGTATTAAAAATAAGACCCAATAATATGCTGCCTAAAAGAGACTCACTTCAGCTTTAAGGGCACACATAGGCCCAAAATAAAGGGATGGAAAAAGATAATACCATGCAAATGGAAACAAAAAGAAAGCAGGGATAGCTACACTTTTATGAGACAAGGTAAACTTTAAGCCAAAGACTATAACAAGAGACAAAGAAGGTCATTATATAATGATAAGTCTATTTTTTCAAGAAGATGTAACAATTTTAAGTATATATGCACCCAGCATTAAAGCACAAAAATATATTAAGTAAATACTAACAGATCTGAAGGGAGAAATAGACAACAAAAAATAATAGTAGAGGACTTAAACACCCCACATTCATCATTGCATATAGATCATCCAGATAGGAAATCAATAAAGAAGTATTGGACTTGAACTATACCTCAGACCAAATGAACCTAACAGACATTTATAGAACACTGCATCCAACAGCAACTGAATACACATTCTTCTCAAGTGCACATGGAACTTTCTAAAGCATAGATCATATGCTAGGTCACAAAACAAGCCTTAGCAAATGTATGAAGATTAAAATCATACCAAGTATCTTTTCTGACCAGAATTTTATGAAACTAGGCATTAATAACAGGAGAAAAATTCACAAATATGTGGTAATTAAGCAACACACTCTTGAATAACCAGTGGGTCAAGGAAGAAATCAAAAGGAAAATAAATATTTTGAAATAAATGACGGTGGAAAAACAGTGTATCAAACTTAGGGGATGCAGCAAAAGCAGTTCTAAGAGGGAATTTTATGCTGATAAACACCTACTTTAAGACAAAAGAATGATGACACCCAAGTCACAACTCAGCCTTCATGCTGGTGGAGCTGGCCAGCTGCCTGCATGATGCACTTCTGCAGTGCCCACCACCCACAGCACTTAATTATTTGATTTTCCACTGTGGCTGGTGAGAGCTGGAATTCTTTTAGGCACTGTGTGATCTTAGGTAATCAGTCCCTCTAATTCAATTGTGTGGTTCTTTCCTCACACATAAGTATTAATCACACCTCCGCTAAAGTCTTAAAGAGAACTTCTGCAGCTCTCCAGAGCTCTTTGTGCAGCTACCTTCTCTCTGATATTTTACCCTGAAAAATTCTCTTTCTTGCCCTCTCCATACTTGCAACTCGTGTCTTCAACTTAAGCTGACTGATAGGCTCCCTCTGAGCTTTCCTCCATAAATTATGGCTTACAGACTCTCTCCAGGCTATAAGCTGGGAATATCATGAGACTCACCTCATTTCTTTTTCCCGTCTCTCATGGATCACTGTCTTTCATTATCAGATTTCCAATGTCTTGAAACCCATTGTCATGTGTAATTTTCCTAGTTTTTAAATTATTAGTTGCAGAAGATGTAAACCTAATACCTGTAGTCCTACCTTGACTAGAAGTGGAAGTAGCTATTATAGTGTTTTCAGAGGACAGTTTGGCCTTTTATATCAGTATTTTAAATGTGTTTTTCTTTTGACTCAGCAATTCCAGTCAGTCTTCTAGTTGCTGGAGATATAACAGTGAACATGATAATGTACTTCCCTATGGCTTACAGTAGATTAGAGTGGCAGACACAAAAACAAAAAAAAAAGAATAATTACAATATATTTTATTGGGAAGTAATAAAAAATGTTAAGGAGAAAAAAAAGGGTGGTAGGAAGCATTGCATACAGGAAGGTATGGGCTCACTGGGAGGAGTATATTTGATCATAGCCTACTGAAATTAAGAGAGCAAGCTATATGAATATCTGGAGGAAGAACACTCCAGTTAGATGAAACACTCAGTACAAAGTCCGTGGTGTGTTTGATAAATAGCAAGAGACACTTTTTTTTTAAAGATTTTTATTTATTTGACAGACAGAGATCATTAGTAGGAAGGGAGGCAGGCAGAGAGGGGGGCGAGGGAAGCAGGCTCCCCACTGAGCAGAGAGCCCGATATGGGGCTCGATCCCAGAACCCTGGGACCATGACCTGAGCTGAAGGCAGAGGCTTTAACCCACTGAGCCACCCAAGCACCCCAGCAAGAGATATTCTTAACTCCTATAGTGCATAAACCTATGCTCACAAAATGGTAATTATTTAGAATATTACTACTATTGGTGTTGAAACTGTATGGCCTCAAAGTTTATCTGCTTGCTACTATGTCATATTCTCTCTCCTATGCCATGAGACATTGAGACGTGTATTGCCTTGTGATTGTGCTTGCAATGTTTTCTATCATTGCTCAGATTTTACACAGGGTTTCCTTGTGTTCCCAATCATGTAATTTCTGTGACGTTGCAGCCTGATACAATATTGGTCTCTGGCATTTCTTTTTGCACTAATCATTTGGGTTGATTTCATTTGTTGCCTTCCTCCCTCACCATGTGTGTGTCCTCCCAAAGTGTGTGCACTCTGGCCAAAAGCTCAGTCCCCCCAGAGCCAAGAAAGGTTTTCAAATACATATGACACTATATAAAAATTGTAATCATTTAGGGGTGCCTGGTTGGCTCAGTCGGTTAGGCATCTGATTCTTGATTTCGGTTTGGGTCTTAATCTCAGGGCCGTGAGTTGAAGCCCCATGTTGAGCTCTGTGCTGGGCATGGACCCTGCTTTAAAAAAGCTTGTAATGGGGTGCCTGGGTGGCTCAGTCATTAAGCATCTGCCTTTGACTCAGGTCGTGATCCCAGCCTCCTGGGTTGAGCCCCACATTGGGCTCCCTGCTCAGTGGGAAGCATGCTTCTCCCTCACTCTCCCTGCTTGTGTTACCTCTTTTGCTGGGTCTCTCTCTGTCAAATAAATAAAATCTTTAAAAATTTTTTGTAATGATACCCTCTCCCTCATTTGTCCAGCACTTTTTACAATGTATAAGACATTTTGTTTTCACCCTTTCTTATTTTTTTAATTTTATTATTTCAGTGTTCCAAAATTCATTGTTTATGCACCATACCCAGTGCTCCATGCAATATGTGCCCTCCTTAATACCCACTACCAGGCTCACCCAAACCCCCACCGCCATCCCCTCCAAAACCCTCAGTTTGTTTCTCAGAGTCCACAGTCTCCCATGGTTTGTCTCACCCTTTCTTTTTTGAATAATATGTCCATGGTATGAAATTTTAAAAGATCAAGATGATATAGGAGTAAGAAATAAGTTACTGCCATCCTTTCCTCAGCCACTTATTATTCCTGTCTTGAAGCAAACAATTTAACCAATTTCCTTGGTATCCTTTCAGAAATATTGGGTGCATTTTAGTAACCCCCCACAACCAACCCCTACCCATACAATGTACCTTGACTACTCTTTTCACTTGATTCTTATCACACCGTATGAGGTAGTTGTGCTCTCCCCATGTTACAGATGAGGAATCTAAAACTCAGAGATAGGAGGTGACTTGCCTAAGGTTTTCCAGGGAGTAAGTGAAAATCCAGGATTGACTGTGCAGTTTTTGTTTGCATTCTTTCCTCCACATTGTGAAGGGCCAGGTACTGTGTCTTAAACATGATAGGAGACTTCTAAACACTTGTTGGTAGCTGGAGTGATTTTAAAAATCCCAATTCCTTTAATCATATTAGAATTGCTATGGCAAACCCTAGGTGTAATGTTGGTAGGCATCAATGGGTAGTTAGAATTAGGGAGACAAAAACTCGGTCTTTCTAATTGTTTTCTCAAAATATTCTCCTTTTACAGATCTATTCAGGTCCACCTGAAGAAAGTTCTACACCCCCAGTGCCTCCACCTCGAGTGACAGCAAGAAGGCATAAACCAATCACAATTTCAAAACGCTTGCTGCGAGAAAGAACAGTTTTTTATACTTCTTCCCTGGATGAACGTGAAGGTCAGTACTGAGGTATATCCTTAGCTTCTTAATAGCATTAGAAGTGACTGGATTGCTGCAATCTCATGAGAAAACTTCAACAGATGAGGATTTGCTTATTATGGATGGGCAAAGACAGTGGTTTCTTGAGATGGAATCTACTGGTGAAGATGCTGTAAAGACTGTTGAAATGACAACAAAGGATTTTGAATATTAAATAAGCTTAGTTGATAAAGCAGTGGCAGGGTTTGAGAGTATCAACTCCAATTTTAAAAGTTCTACTGTAGGTAAAATGCCATCAAACAGTATTGCATGTTAAAGAGAAATGGCATGTAAAAGGAAAAGTCAATCAATTCAGCAGACTTCATTATTGTCTAATTTTAAAAAATTGCTACAGCTAACCGAACCTTCAGCAGCCATCACCCTGATCAGTCAGCAGCCATCAAAAATAAGGCCAGAGCCTTCTCCAGCATAAGGATTATGACTTGCTGGAATCTCAGATGATGTTTAGCATTTTTAAGCAATAAATATTCTTTTATTATTAAGCTTTTTATTCCAAAATAGTTAATATAAAGTGTTATATTAGTTTCAGGTATACAATATAGTCGTTTAAAACTTACATACAACACCTGGTGTTCATCACAACAAATGTACTCCCTAATCCCCATCACCTATTTTATCCATTCCTGCACCCACCTCTCCTCTGGTAACCATCAGTTTACTCCCTATAGTTAAAAGTCTGTTACTTGTTCTTTTTGTTTGTTTGTTTCTCTCTCTCTCTCTCTCTCTCTCTTCCCCTTTGCTGGATTGTTTTGTTTCTTAAATTCCACATATGAGTGAAATCATATGGTATTTGTCTTTCTCTGAGTAACTTACTTCATTTAGCATAATACTTTCTAGCTCCAAACACATCATTGCAAATGATAAGATTTCATTCTTTTTTATGGATAAGTAATATTGCATTATATATATTCCACATATATACCATATCTTCTTTATCCATTCATCTATCAAGGGACACTTCTTTATCCATGCATCTGTTGAGGGACACTTGGGCTGGTTCCACAATTTTACTCTTGTAATAATGCTGCTATAAACATAAGGGTGCATGTATGCCTTTGAATTATTGTTTTTGTATTCTTTGGATAAATACCCAGTAGTGTAATTGCTGGATCATAGGGTAGTTCCATTTTTAATTCTTTGAGGAAACACCATACTGTTTCCCACAGTGGCTGTACAAGTTTGCACACCCACCAGTAGTGCACAGATTTCCTTTTTCTGACCATCCTCACCAATACTTGCTGTTTCTTATATTTTTAATTTTCACCCTTCTGACAGGTTTGAGGTGATACCTCATTGTAATTTTGATTTGCGTTTCCCTGATGATGAGTGATGTTGAGCATCTTTTCATGTGTCTGTTGGCCATCTGTATGTTTTCTTTGGAGAAATGTCTGTTCATTTATTCTGCTCATTTTTTAATTGGATTATTTGGTTTTTAGGTGTTGAGTTGTATAAGTTTCTTATGTATTTTGGATACTAACCCTTTTTTTTTAAAGATTTTATTTATTTATTTGACAGACAGAGATCACAAGCAGGCAGAGAGGCAGGCAGAGAGAGAGAGGGAAGCAGGCTCCCTGCTGAGCAGAGAACCCGATGCGCGGCTCAATCCCAGGACCCTGGGATCACGACCCAAGCGGAAGGCAGAGGCTTTAACCCACTGAGCCACCCAGGCGCCCCTGGATACTAACCCTAAATCAGATATGTCATTTGCAAATATCTTCTCCCATTCAGCAGGTTGCCTTTTAGTTTTGTTGATTGTTTACTTCACTGTGCAGGAGCTTTTGTTTTGATGTAGTCCCAATAGTTTATTTTTGCTTTTATTTCCCTTGCTTCAGGAGACATACCTAGAAAAGATGATGTCAGAGAAATCACTGCTTATGTTATTTTCTAAGATTTTTAGGGTTTCAGCTCTCACATTTAGATTTTTAATCCATTTTGAGGTTTTTTTTTTTAATATGGTTTAAGAAAGTGGTCCATTTTCATTCTTTTGCATATAACTGCCCTGTTTTAGAGGCAACATTTGTTGAAGAGACTATCTTCTCCCCATTGTATATTCTGTCCTCCTTTTTTGGAGATTAATTGATCATACGATTTTGCATTTATTCCCGGGTTTTCCATTCTGTTCTATTGATCTTTCTACTTATTTTTGTGCCAGTAACATACTCTTTTGACTACTAGAGCTTTGTAGCATAACTTGAAGTCTGGAATTGTGCTGCTGCCAGTTTTGTTTTTCTTTTTCAAGATTGCTTTGGCTATTTGGAGTCTTTTGTGGTTCTGTATAAATTTTAGGATTATTTTTTTCCAGTTCTGTGAGAAATACTACTGGTATTTTGGTAGGGATTTCATTAAATCTCTAGATGGCTTTGGGTTGTGGAGACATTTTAACAATATTTGTTCTTCCAGTCCATGAGTATGGAATGTCTTTCCATTTCTTTGTGTCATCTTTAATTTCTTTAATGTTATGTAGTTTTCAGTGTATAGGTCTTTCTTCTCTTTGGCCATGTTTATTCTTAGGTACTTTATTATTTTTGGTGCAATTTTAAAAAGAATTGTTTTTTAAATTTCTCTTTTTGCTGCATCATTACTATTACATAGAAATGCATTGACTTTTCTGAACATTGATTTTGTATCCTGCAACTTTATGAATTTATTTATCAGTTCTAGTAGTTTTTTGGTAAAGTCTTCAGGTTTTTCTATATATAGTAGCATGGCATCTGCAAATAGTGAAATTTTACTTCTTCCTCGCCTTTTATTTCTTTTTCTTGTCTGAATATTGTGGCTAGGACTTCCATTACTATGTTGAGTAAAAGTGGTGAAAATGGGGGAACCTGGGTGACTCCATCATTAAGCATCTGCCTTTAGCTCAGGTCATGATCCCAGGGTCCTAGGATTGAGACCCACATCAGACTCCCTGCTTAGTGGGGAGCCTGCTTCTCCCTCTCCCTCTCCCCCTGCCTGTGTTCCCTCTCTCACTGTGTCTCTCTCTGTCAGATAAATAATAAAATCTTTTTTTAAAAAAGTACTGAGGGACTGGAAGAGATTATGCTGAGTGAAATAAGTCAAGCAGAGAGAGTCAATTATCATATGGTTTCACTTATTTGGGGAGCATAAGAAATAACACGGAGGACATGGGGAGATGGAGAGGAGAAGGGAGTTGAGGGAAATTGGAGGGGGGGGATGAACCATGAGAGACTATGTACTCTGAAAAACAATCTGAGGGTTTTGAAGAGGGAGGGGTGGGAAGTTGAGCCAGCCTGGTGGTGGGTATTGTGGAGGGCACATATTGCATGGAGCACTGGGTGTGGTGCATAAACAATGAATTCTAGTACACTGAAAAGTAATTTAAAACATTTTAAAAAAATTAAAAATTAAAGTAGATACATTTTCTTGCATGGACATTATATCTCAATAAAGTTTTTTTTTAAATAAAAAAAATTTTTAAAAAGCAGTGAGAATGGATATCCTTGTCTTATTCATGATCTTAGGGGGAGAGCTCTCAGGTTTTCCCTGCTGAGTATGGTGTTCACTCTGAGTTTTTCATGTAAGACCTTTATGTTGAGGTGTGTTCCCTCAAGACCTACTTTGTTGAGATTTTATTTTGTTTTGTTTTGTTTTTCATGAATGGATTGGTGCTTGTCAAATGTCTTTTTTGGATCTATTGAAATGATCATATGGTTTTTGTCCTTTCCCCTATTGATGTGATATATGACATTGATTAATTTGCTAATACTGAATCACTCTTGCATCTTTGGAATAAATTCCCCTTGATCGTGGTGAATGAATGTTTTGAAGTATTGTTGTATTCCATTTGCTAGTATTTTGTTGAGATTTTTTTGTATCTATATTTAATAGAAATGTCAGATTGTGATTCTTTTTTTGTGCTGTCTTTATCTGGTCTTGGTATCAGTGTAATGCTGGTCTCATAGAATGAATTTGGAAGTTCTCCTTCCTTTTCTATTTTTGTAATATCTGGAGAAGAATAGGTATCAAATCTTCCTTAAATGTCTGGTAGAATTTGTCTATGAAGCTGTCTTGTCCTGAACTTCTGTTTTTGAGGAGTTTTTTGATAACTGAATTCAATTTCTTTGCTGATTATTGGTCTGTTCAAGTTTTCTCTTTCTTCCTGCTCCAGTTTTGGTAGGTTATATGTTTCTAGAAATTTACCTATTTTTTCTAGGTTGTCCAGTTTGTTGGCATATAGTGTCTCATAATATTTTCTTACATTTGTTTGTATTTTTGTGGTGTTGGTTCCAATTTCTCCCCTCTCATTTGTGATTTTATTTGAGTAATTTCTCTTTTTTTTCCTGGTGAGTATGGCTAAAGTTTTATCAATTTTGCTTATCTTTTCAAAGACACAGCTCCTGGTTTCATTGATTAGTTCTACAGCTGTGTGTGTGTGTGTGTGTGTGTGTGTGTGTGTTTGTGTGTGTGTGTGTTTAAGCTTCTGTATCTTTTTTTTTTCTACTCAAATATTTACTATTTCCTTCCTTCCCCTTAGGTTTTGGTTTTGTTTATTCTTCTTTTTCTAGCTTCTTTATGTATAAAGTTAGGTTATTTGAAATTTTTCTTGCTCCTAGAGATTGGCATATATTGCTATAAACTTCCCTCTTAGAACTCCCTTTGCTGCATCCCACTGATTTTTGGACTGCTGTGTTTTCTTTTTCATTTGTTGCCATGTAATTTTTTTATTTCTTCTTTGATCTATTAGTTGACCCATTCATTCTTTAGTAGCATGTTATTTAGTCCCTATGTGTTTGTGCTCTTAAAAGATTTTTTTCTTTATATTGATTTGTGGTTTCATAGTGTGGTAGTCAGAAAATATGCATGGTATTACTTTAATATTTTTTAATTTGTTGAGACTTGTTTTGTGGCATAATTTGTGTTCCATTCTGGAGAATGTTCCATGTGCCCTTGAAAAGAATGTGTATTCTGCTGTTTAAGGATGGTGTTCTGAATATATC